GAAACTATATGTAACAAGCTTGGCTTTGCTCTCAGTATATGATACTGTTTTAAGTAATAAGTAAAGAAAAAGTCTTTTTTAAAAAAGTTCTAACAGTATAGAGTTTTGTTGCAAAGAGTAACTTTTTCTAAAAAATCTTTGATCGTATAACAACAGAGGAAAAAGATTTCAACTGCAAAACTCAATGTCAATGCTGTCCAACATATTTTTGAATTGACAAAGCCATATTTATTCGCATTTCTACTTATTTTTATAACATTTACTACTCAAGACGAATGAAAAGTCTATTGTAAAATAGTTATTTGGCTTAATGCAGGGCTTGACAGTAGCCACATGTCTTCCTACAGTAATGACGCTTCTGTTGTTCGGTGTATCCTTTATCTGCGCAGAAACCACTTTGATTCCATAAAGGACAACTGAAAATTACAGAAATTTATCCGCTGCAAAGGCTTCCGTAAATTTTTTTTCAAATAATTTTATCGTTATGTAATTATTGAATTTAGCTGTTATTCACGCATTGCATCACTGGAGAAAAGGTTTGAAAAACAGAAAATTATTCATATTATTTTTAATTTAGTAGCGTTTCCTTCCCTACATAGGAACATTTTCGATCAATTAGTGACTGTTCTTTTTTCACGGTGAATTTAACCAAGTGCTGAAATTTTCTTACCTTATCATAAAATCTGTACATGCAGTTTGGTTGGTGGCATTATCTTTACAAAAACTGCAAGTTTTTTTGCATTTCTCCTTCATAATTTCGGTATATACAGGTAGATGGCATAAATTTCGATTTTCAGAGCAGTTAGGTGCAATGTCAACACAGTTATTGCTGGCAGCAGTTTTTTGGGCTGTAAAGTTAAATCTTTGCATTAATTATTGCATTAATCATTTGTTGACCACGAATAATTAATCCTTAGCCATATGTTTTTGAAAATTTAAGTTTCGTTACTAATTTTGTGAAATGACGCATCAGCAGTATATTATTCGTACTCTACCTTTTTTCTCTACTAGGCTAAAATTGCGTCTTCCTCTTAAATCTGGTTCTTAATAGTAATGCCGAGGTTAAGCAAACCTTAGTTAATAAACGCATTTGAATACGTTGCTCATGATAACTATGCAAGTAATTTTTTTTTTCTAGAAAGGAGGCAATATTAAATTTTTTTTTTTGGTTTATAAAAATTTTTAAACAAAGCACTGAAACGTAGAAATTAATAAAATCTGCTCAGTGAGTGCTGCTGCTTATAAACCAATAAAACCTGTTGTTTTTACTTTCAATTTTTAAAGAAGGGAAAGAAGTGAAGAATCAGAACTTTAAATGATGTAAAACAAATATAAATATTTGTTAAAGTAGGAGTTTTTTAACTGTTATGGGTTTTATTACTTACAACTGTTGATTGTGTTTGTCTTTTAAAAAGGCAAAATGAAAAGAAAAAGGGTTGTACAGCCAAATGTTTGAAAAATTTTATGGCAGTTGCAAATCTCAGTAATATTTTAATGTTTTAACTACTTTGCTTCTGCTCAGAGACTTTTCAGGGGATAAAGTTCTTTTATCAGTTAATAACGAATCTCGTTTCTTATGTTATCTGTGGTTGAACTACGCTCAAATGTTGAATATTAGTGACTTATTGGTTTAAATTTTGAAGCTAAGGATAATAGCGAAGGCAGTTCGAGAGGAACTTCCAAAAAAGCAGCGGCAAATAAATCTCAAATATGAGCTTTGAAAACGGTTCAATTTATGGGCTTTTATAGATTAGTTAATGAAATTTAAACATGAGGCAATTACAAATATGGCTATAGTTTATTTACTGCAAAGGATAATCACCTGTCAGTGAAGTAGTGGTTCTCCTGTTTTTTTTGCAACTGTTACACGTTCTTGGGCACATTTCTTCCATAAACTGAAACCAACTTTTGTGGTTACATATTTCTGACAACAAAGGACATAGTTCATTCTCATCAACGCAGGATGAAATTTCGCATAAACCACACGAATGTGGGCATTCCTGTTGTAACATTAATGCAATCCATGGTACTTCAGTAATACAGCCACCAGCTTCAGCTATTCCAGTACAGTTGAGACGAGAATCTGGAATAGGTTTTATTGGGTGCAGCTGTAATTTTTTTTTGTAATTTATGCTTAGGAAAATTGAAGTTTAGGAAACAAAGTTATAATGAGAAAAATACTAGAAAAATAATTATAGTATGTAAAAGAAATTAACTTCTCCTACTTCTGTTATTTTCGCACTGATATGCCGGATCTCTGCAACAAGTCATACACGTTCGTCGGCACTGGACTGCCAGACCTTTGTATTCGGGTTTGGTGCAATTTGCATCTACTACCCACCCATCGCTGGAAAGATTACTTTTTTTTGTTTATCGTATGGCAAACCACGTGAAAAGTCGGAACTACATGAGATATGAAGTAGAATGGAATGAAATTTCAGAATAACTTTTAAAAGCATTACATTTTTTGTTTAAGTAATTTTATTTCCTTCACTTTTAAAAACGTTCTAAATCTGCAGTGTGCTGAAGTTTTCTAAGAATAGTCTATTGAAAACTTTTAAGTACCTGATCTTAGTTGGCTTTTCGAAAAATTGTTCACACACCGTATCACCTAATTTATTTGGGCATATTAAAGCAGTATCTTCTGAGCATTTAGTTGTGGCGAGTGTCACCGCAACAGTGGTGGTTATATATGCGAAGGCAGTAGTAAAGAAGATGATCATTAGAGATCTGCGAGCCATATCTGCAAAATAGTAGTGACAAATCTTAGTTGCTCTTCAATTGATAATCTATTAAAATTGCATAAATTTTTACATTAGTTCTTAAAAAAACGAAACGGAAAGAGTTGAAATTAATAAAGTTTAGCTAAGAAAAAAACTTTGTTAACCATAGTTTTACAGTACGATCATATGTCATAATATAAGGTTAAGTTCAAGCGATAGATAAAAAAATAGATAAAGAATCTTAGCTATTGTTACAGAAAAATTCACTTAGCAGGCGAAAATATTAATGAAAAAAAATTAGTGTTTCTCTAAAAAATGTTTGTCATAAAAAATTGGTAAATTCTACAATCTACAAAATTGATAGGTAACATCAGCTAGTGGCTTTTACGTATCAAGATTTTATCACATTTACAGTTAAGATAGAAAAAACTGTAGTTTGCAAATAAATACATATTAAAAGACGACAGTGTTGAATAGCAATAAAATTTAAATTTTTTTCAAATAAATAAGACAAGAAAAAGTAAAGAAAGAAGAAGTCGGTTTTGAATAACATTAAACAAATGCTCTTCATTTGATAATTCTGTCTTACCATATTAAGCAATATTAAATTTTGTCTCAAGGTGTTTCATAAGAAAATTTATTTCTTCTACAATATCTTATCACTTTGAAGAAAAAAAAAAA